CAGAATATTATACCTTCCTGGATGAGAAAAGGAGAAACATGCTCTTGGAAAGCGGCCTCCATCTTTGTTAATAGCCCCAGAAAGACTGGGCCATCCTATCTACAAGACAAAAGGCTGGGCCATCCTATCTACAAAACAAAAGACCTTCAGCTCAAGGGTGATGGGATTAAGAGATGGCACTCAGGACATGATAGGATTAGCCCTCTACTCATCTCACCACATGGGAAGATTACATCACCCAGCAAGGCTCAACCAAGCTTGGGACTCAGGAGTTGTCCCTGCATGGCTCCATGGAAGTCTGACAACCAATCAGAATACAAGCTCAAATTCAAAAGCCCAGAGAGGGTATAAAACTCAGGCATTCTCATCATCTCTGGCACTTTTTCCCCCTTTCACTCAACATCTTCAAGGCATGTGATCCTGTCCTCCATTAAAACTATCTTTCGAAGCAACTTCCATGGATCCAGTGTCTTTTCCCCCCACTTGGAACTGAACCCAGATGGACATTTCTTCCAACACAGGGGAGGGATTGGGAGGCCCAAAACAAACCACGCAACAAGGGCAGGAAGCCCAGAGGGGAGATGGCATGAGATGGCATGAGCAAGGAAACCTAGAGGGATTTACCAGAGCGACTTAGAACTTTTTTTGCCGGCTTCCAAATTGGGTTTGCTTGTGGGAAGCCATCAGGGAAGTTCATAAATGATGACCACGCGACTATGGGAACATTGCACCCATTGTAAATGTGAGACAGTTGCCAAGCATCCAAATGGTAATCATATGACTGCAGGAGCCCCGCAATGGCCAGAACATTGAGGACCAGTGGTAAATACCACACATTTAGCACTGTCACAACTTTGAGCAAGTCATTGGTAAATGGGAGGCTATCTGTGTTTGCATCTACAACTTCTTTGCCACTGTGGCCAAGCTAGGTTCTCTTATGCATACCCCTGTACCTGAGAAAATTCCTATATTCCTACATAATTCCCATAAATGTTTTTTACCTTCCTTCAAAGGGAGAATAGAAATGCTCAGAGCCAATGGTGGGATTCAGCTGGTTCAGGCCGGTTCGGGCAAATTGGTTGTTAAATTGCTGGCTGGCTACGCCCCATCCCGCCCCTTCCAGGATAATTATTATAAAATAATTATTATTTTATTAGTTTTAAATTAAAACAATGGACATTGCTCAACGTCTCTGGTTTCTAACATTTACGTCAAAATCAAGTTAATAAGTAATCTATTCCTTGCTCTATATACAAATTTACATATCTCCTACTTCATTATATATCGAGTATACAGTATTTTACTTTCTAACCAACTACGCGCCCCTTTTTGGCTCCCAGGTAAGTGCAGGGAGGCCTAGCAGGCCCAAAATGGGACACACGGGGGTGCCGCACCACCACCACCCGCAGCCCATTTTTGCTCCCAGGATGGTGCGGGGAGGCCTACTAGGCCCAAAATGGGGTGTGGGGGGTGCGGCGCATCCCCGACCCCCCCCCCCGCAGCCTGTTTTTGCTCCCAGGGGGGTGCAGGAGGCCCAGTACTGCCTGTCACACCCTCTGGCCACGCCCACCATGCCCACGCCCACCCAGCCGGTCATTAGGGCAGAGAAGCAGTTGTTAAATTATTTGAAGCCCACCACTGCTTAGAGCCTTTTCTAAAGCAGCGGAAATTGTAATTTCATAACAGAAATCAAAATCAACTTTCTTTCATTACGAGCTTAGTGCTTTTAGAGATACCTTTTTTAATCAGATTTTTGCCGTACTCTTTCCTTAAGTAGATAAGGGAAGCCTTAGTGGGTCCTCTCAAAAATTTCAACAGCACTTCCTCACTTGGGGCCTTCTTGAGAGTAATAGATTTGCATGTTACAAGGCAAGGGGACGATAACCGCTGTTCTGAACCTTTTCTTGGAGCACAGAAATGAGTCTCGCTATTATGATTGTCAAAATAGCTCCCCATTTAAGTGGCAGAAACCTGAAGTGCTGAAGGCCACTAAAATAAGGCTGGAAAGTGTATCCCTCTGCGAGATGCTGGTTGCCAAGTCCTGCTTCAAATCTATTGCAAAATAAAATACCAATAGACAGGCTGCATAGGGGGGGGGATTACAACTTGCGAATGTTAGTCATGCATAACAAAATATCATATTTCGTATGTCTGAAAAAATAATTCCGATGACATGGCTGGCCTTCCACTCTAAAAGACAGTTGAGCAATCTTCAATTCCTTTTTCGTTGGTCTTTCTTATATTACAACCATTTCTTAGTAACCAAAATTAGTATTGCGCTGAAAAAAGGGGCACGACCATTTTTCACACTTATGACAGTTGTAGCATCCCTATGTTCATGGAAGGACCCGGGTACCTTCGAGACCGTCTTCTGCCACCAATAGCCTCCCACCGACCAGTCCGCTCCCACAGAGAGGGTCTCCTCAGGGTGCCATCGGCCAAGTTATGTCGGCTGGCGACACCCAGGGGGAGGGCCTTCTCTGTGGGAGCCCCAACCCTGTGGAATGAACTGCCCCCGGAAATACGTAAGATCTCCGACCTCCGGGTATTTCGCTGCACACTGAAGACCCTGTTGTTCCGCCAGGCCGGGCTATCAACATAATAGTTTTAAATTGTATTTTAAATTTCTGGGGTTTTAATTGAGCCAAATTTATTTAATTATTTTAAATTTTAATTGCTGTTTTGTCTTGTGTTTTTAAATAGGCTGTATACCGCCCTGAGTCCTTTGGGAGAAGGGCGGTATAGAAATAAAATTATTATATTATTATTATTATTATTATTATTATTATTATTATTATTATTATTATTATTATTATTATTATTATTATTATTATTATGTGATCAAAATTCAAACTTTTGATAACTGGCTCATATTTTTGACGGTTGCAGTGTCCCAGGGTCATGTGGTCACTTTTTGTGACCTTCTGACAAACAAACGGGGGAAGCTAGATTCACTTAACAACTGTGTTACTAGCTTAACAATTACAATGATTTCCTTAACAGTGGCATATAAGGTTTGCTGCTTGAGCAGAGGGTTGGACTAGAAGATCTTCAAGCTCCCTTCCAACTCTGCTTATTTTGCTAAATGGGGCCAAGTACTCATTTAATGACTGTCTCACTTAGCAACATAAATTTTGGGCTCAATTGCAGTCATAAGTTGAGGACTACTTGTATCTTGCTTATCTGTGCTTAACAAATGTTTGGCTCAGGTGTGGTTGAAGAAAAAAAAACTTCTCTGGAACTTGCCAATTAATGGTAAGAAAGCCATTAGGCATAATAATAATTATTCCATCTGAGCAGAAGCATTTATACAATGAGATAGCCTGAAGCATCGAAAAAACAAAGTCATGAATAAAACATTGACAGAATATTGGTGGGTGGATTGCAAATGGGAAAACCCTTCTGTGTATACATCGAGTGAGTTTGTGTTTGGAGGTGTCTTGTTTTTTTTTTTTCAGAAGTCACACCGACACCGAAAAGTGGCGCTGATGAAAAAAAAGGAGTGAAAAAGAGAAGAGAGATTATCACTTTGACGTGTACTGTTGCCAACATTATCAGCATCACCCAAAAGCTTTGCAATCGGTTTCAAGGATGTGGCATGAAATGAAGGTGTTATTGTGGAGTGGATCATCCCACCTGCCAAATAAGATAACTTAAAAACAAGATAAGAAAAAGATATTTAAAGGCCCTGGTCATTTTATTACATTTTTAAGACAAGGAAAAGTGGACGGTGTTGTAGGAAGCCCCCGTTCCCCGGATTAAAATATTCCTTATTCTTAATATTAAAAAGAATATATTAAAATATTCCTTATTCTTAATATTTTTAATATTAAAAATATTAAAAATAGAATATTTCCCCAAAGGAGAAATGGAGAAACATGTTCTTAAAGGCAGAAAGCAGACCAGTCTTCCTACCATGGGAAAACAGCCTCAAGCAGAAAAGACCAGTCTTTTGGGATGGAGATTTGGTATCCATTCTGAAAAACTGGGCCTATTCATGAACAAAACGCCTTCAGCCGTAAGCTCCCACAGAAGGCTAGAGCTGATGGGATTAAGAATTTATACTCCCCCACCCAAATTCTAAGGATGGGACAAGATCTTTAGGACATAATAGGATTAACCCACCACCACTGAAATAGTAAAAGACACAAGGCTCACTACATTGTACAACCTCTGGAGCATCTCATTTACAAAACCCCAGAACCTTATAAAAATCCATCCACTCACTCAGCCAATTGGTAAGCCACCCCAGAAACATTGCTGCTGTCACTGAAGTTTCTGGAAACCAAATAAACACTTTCTTTTTTTGTAGCCAGCCTCCATTGATTTTTTTTTCTCCTGGCTTGATGGAATTGGGTATGGCTAGTCTAGTGAAAAGAAGGACTAGGGGTGACACAATAGCAGTCACATCAAAATTTGAGGGGTTGCCATAAAGAAGAGGGGGTTAGCCTATTCTCCAAAGCACCCAAAAGCAGGACAAGAAGCAATGGAGGGAAACTAATCAAGGAGAGAAGCAACCTAGAAATAAGGAGAAATTTCCTGACCGCTAGACCAATGGAATGGCTTGCCTTCAGAAGTTGTGGATGCTCCATCAATGGAGGTTTCTAAGAAGAGATTGGACAACCATTTACCTGAAATGGCATAGAGCGTCTTGCTTGTGAAGGAAGTTGGACTAGAAGACCTCCAAGATCCCTTCCAACTCTGTTATTCTGTTCTATTAAGGTCACAGAGGCGATAGTACTGAATCCAACAAAAATGGAGATAATTTTATTTTCTCTAAGGCATCCTTTTTTCCCCTCTCCTCTCTGTCTTGATGTCTTCTTTCCCCAACACAGAAAGGACTGAGGTTTTTTTTTCCTAAAGAATCTCCAAGATAGATTTTTAAATACGACTTTAGACTCAGGAAGTGTTTTCAAGGCTGGACGGTGGCCAGAATAGCACAAATGACTTCGTCTTCTAGAAACTTCTAGATTTCTAGATTTGAAAAATGACCGTCACCTCAGAATGGCCAGATTAGAGAAAACAGAATATTCTAGAATGCACACACCATGTGGAACATCGAGTTCTGCAGCCAACTATCAACACCCACGTGGTATGAGGGCCAAGGACAGCATTGATAACCCTTCCGTCCACATGAACATGCAGGGATGTGTGCGGGGTATGGTTAAAAAAAAGTCAACAAGTGCCCATAACTGTGATCAAAGCTCTGCCTGGGGTTTTTTTTGTGGGCATCATCTTGATGTCTGTTAGCCTCAGGTCTCTTGGAAAGATTAAAGAATCTTGCAAGTACATATTTATGAGAACGCATGTCTGGTTCCAGAATTCCATCCATTGATGGATCATTTGTGAGGTGGCTCCATTATTATGAATAGCCCTCCATTTGTTATTTGTTTTGTTTTTATAGTTTTTTTATAATTAATAAGGACATTGTCGGTTTTTTTTGTACATTTATTCTTTGGTTTAGCTGCCCAGAGTCTGATGAGATGAGTATGTGTGTTTGTGTGTGTGTGTGTGTGTGTGTGTGTGTGTATTTGTTTTCTGAGGTTTTCGCGGGTGATCACACACATTGCTCCTAGAAGCACGAAGCCAAAAACACCAGCCTGAAGATGACGAATGAGACTTCGTCGAAACGTTGCCAAGACACCTCCAATTTTACGCGGGAGAAAACCCAAATAACCAAAGACCTACATACATACATACATACATACATACATACATACATACATACATATATATATATTCTTACTTCTTCGTAGGATTTATGTGTGTTTTTCCTCTACCCAGGTTTTTCCTACGTAACCAAGGTTTTTCTGCAGCCCTAGCTCAGTGGAATCACATCCACTCGATTCTGGGCTTTTTTTCTTTCTGGCAGCCAGCAAGCTCTTGCTGCTGGTGAGAGACTTATATAGATCTATTTCTGGCTCGTTAGCCATCATCAGTAAGCCACACCCACATCTCATGTATCCTCCCTATAAAGGTACGTAGGAAAACGTTATGTAGGAAAAACCTGCTAGAGGAATAACACACATAAATCCTACGAAGAAGTAAGAAAATAGATATTGTACCTTTACATGGTACAATATGGTACCATGGTACACTCTCCTTTAGATGGGTGGGTGGGTGGGTGGGTGGGTGGGTGGATGAATGGATGGATGGATGGATGGATGGATGGATGGATAGATAGATAGATAGATAGATAGATATATAGATAGATAGATAGATAGATAGATAGATAGATAGATAGATAGATAGATAGAATGGATGGATGGATGGGTCTCCGGAGAAAGGCGGCATATAAATTGAATTGATAGATAGATAGATAGATAATAGATAGATATAGATAGATAGATAGATAGATAGATAGATAGATAGATAGATAGATGGGTGAGTGGGTGGATGAATGGATGGATGGATAGATAGATAGATAGATAGATAGATAGATAGATGATAGATAGATAGATAGATAGATAGATAGATAGATAGATAGATAGATAGACAGACACTCAGACAGAATGGATGGATGGATGGATGGATGGATGGATGGATAGATAGATAGATAGATAGATAGATAGATAGATAGATAGATAGATAGATAGATAGATAGATAGATAGAATGGATGGATGGATGGGTCTCCGGAGAAAGGCGGCATATAAATTGAATTGATAGATAGATAGATAGATATAGAGATAGATAGATAGATAGATAGATAGATAGATAGATAGATGGGTGAGTGGGTGGATGAATGGATGGATGGATAGATAGATAGATAGATAGATAGATAGATAGATGATAGATAGATAGATAGATAGATAGATAGATAGATAGATAGATAGATAGATAGATAGATAGATAGATAGATAGATAGACAGACACTCAGACAGACAGACAGACAATCAGGTGAAAACCAATATCACACTGAAAAACAGGTTTTTCTTTCTTCTGAGACTTCTATAATCACTCCCCCAAATCTCTAATGGTTTAGGAGAACATTGTCCCTGTCTATAGATCTGTACTTAATGAGATTTGAGTAGTGAGGAAATTTGGTATTTTATTTATGCTTCGTAAGATACTTCTGCTGTTCATACCTTGAAACAAAACTTAATATTAATACTGTAGATTACAGTATGTCCACCAGGTTTGCATTGATTCTTAATGAATTATTCCCAGCCTGGTGTTTCAGGTCCTCTAATGGCCATCCGCTTTGCCCGAGTTCTTCTTCCTTGCTCTTGTTTGTCCTCTTTTTCTCTTTTCTTCCATCTTTTCCAACATTGCAGACTTCTCCTGAAAGCTGGGTCCTCCCGTGTCTTCAAACATGATAATCTGAGCCTGTCATTCAAGTCAGAGCTCTGCGTTGATTTATTCTGTTATCCGTTTGTTTGTTTTCTAGGCTGTCAGAAGAATTCTCAGGAGTCTTCACCGGAAAAAAAAGTGCTTACAGGGGCTTTCCAAATGACAAATGATGGCATGTATGTACAAAAGAGAGAGAGAGAAAGAGAGAAAGAGCTGTCAATTATGAAGCTGTGCTACCATCTTGCCAATTTCGATACCCTTTCCCCGAGAACTCCCTTCTTTTCATGAGAAAAGGTGACTCTAGCTGCAACAAATGAGGAAAAAAAAAATACAAATACACATCCATCCAATTAAAATTGTGACTTAAAAAGAATTGACTGAAGGAGATGGGCTTAAAACTGACACGATTTAAGGTACATATGGCGGATGTTCCAGCTTTCTGAGTAGCAAAATGTTATTTGCAGTGAGCTTTCTGCAAAGAATGTTTAAAAATTCACCTGGGAGGAAAAACATGGATTCTTGTTTTCCCCAAAGGTGGGTTCATCTGGAGCATTATGAAAGGAATTGTTCTGACTAGGCTTCCTTAGACAGTATACAGCACAAACTTAGTCCCGGCAAACCTCTTTAATTCAGACGGCTGTGAATTATTGTCATTCCCAGTCGAAAGGCTTCACAAACAGTCTTTCAGGGGAGTGTTTACAAACACTCACCTTATCTCCCTTGGAATGCTGCCAGAGAACTAATTGCCAGACGCAGGGCAAGGCCAAATTTAGCACAGAGTCTAACAGAGCTTTTCCATAGTTTTTACCGACCAGATGAACTAATTGCTTCCTGCAAAAGCTCATGTGCCATTCGCTTCTCTTTTATGTCTTATGGGAGGGGCCAATCATCTCCAAGCCTTACTCCCAAGTCGACCCTGTTTTCTTAATTGTTCCTGTCTCCTGACAGCTCTGCGCATGCGCACACTGGGAACAGGCTCACACTGTTCTTCTGCCTTGCTGATGTCAGACTCCGGAGACTCCAGAGGCAGCAAAGAACTACCAGATGGCTTTGGCCCTCTCTCTGCCTCCGTCTCAGAGCCATTGTCCAAGCCTTCCCCAGACTCCAGGACAGGCCCACATTCCTCCCCAGCCTCTTCACTGTCTGAATTTGCTGCGAGCTCTGCTGGCCGCTGGCAGGCCACAACAGGAATATTCCAAATCCAGTTATCTACCTGCAGCTCATTCTGCTTCAAAATCTGCTTTGACTCAAACTCGGCTCTTGGTGAGTTCTTGGACACACTCATGTAGTTTCTTCTTTAGGGATTTTTTTTTCTTTTCTCAATTTGTCAATTTCTCAATTTTGGGGAGGGATGTCATCCCATCCAAGCTTTCAAAAAGTCCAAGCCTCCTTAACCTGTGAAGATAAGCCAATGTTAGCTCCTAGGTTTAATATTTTTGAATAGAAGAGAATATATGTAGCTCAGGGTTTTGCTATGGAGTCTTTGGTGCTTTCTGAACTTGGTTATTTGCTTGCAGACATTTCATTACCCAACTAGGTATCATTATCAGTGTGAGTATGAGTGAGTGTGAGGTTTGCTCCCTATATATATATATATGCCCTGCCAGTTTTGGTGAGGATATGGTTTCTTTCTTGGTGGTTCCTTTATTAGGCTATTGTTCTCTGCTTGATTGTTTGTCTGGTGTTAATCCCTGCTTATCTGGATATGGGCTGCTAGAGGCGATGTCTTCTGCTCTTTTTGTTTCCTTCCTAGCTTTTTTTATGGTGTGTAAATATGATTTCTATGTGCTTATTGATGGCAGATTTGCCTGAATGCCAAGCTTCTAGGAATTCCCTAGAATTTTTATTTATTTATTTAGCTCAGTCTTAGGATCTCATAGTGGAAACGGTGGTTGAATCTGTCCATGTATTGCGAGATTAAGGAGTTCTCATCTTGTCTTCTGGCTGCTACTGGTGTTCATGGATGTGCTCTGCTAATTTTCTGCCTGTCTGTCTTCAAAGCTGCTGTTGTCGTTCTGTTTTAGACCTATTTCTATTCTGTAAGGAGCAAGAGAATTACTGAAACGAGACAAAGCTTCTAAGCAGCCCGGATCAAATTTCTCAATCCATACAATTGCTGAACCATTCATACAACTTGCTTTCCAAACATTTGTTCCATGGCTAACAATCCACTTCAAAGTCTCTTGTTTTTCATCTGACTGGTAGATGGCCAGGGTGACATGTCCCTCTTCAAAACATTTTTGAGAGGATACCAGCTGTGGGAGGGAAGAAAAGAGGGAGGGAAGGAGGGAGGGAAGGAAGGGGAGGGAAGCGAGAAAGGGAGCGGGAGAGGGAGGGAGTAAAAGGGGGAGGGAGAAAGGGAGGGAGAGCGGGAGAGAGGGGGGAGAAGGATGGAGGAGAAAGGGAGAGAAATATATTAAAGTGATAAAGATCCTTTAAATCTGAGGGAAACCGCCAAGGCACAGACCTATGATTAATGGTACTGAAAGCAGCTGAGGTATCCAGTGACTTTATCCATTTCTTATCCCACATTATGATTTTTCTCTTTCTGGCTTTATGTAAAAAAACATCATCAGTCTGGGAGAGCTAGCTGATCCAGCTCCTGTTCAGCTTTTGCAGCAAGCAGACAAAAGCTAATGAAGGCAATATCCCTGGCAACCCAGGGATTATATGGCAAAAGTTTCCCCCCCTAAAGCAATGTCCCTCTACCTTGACGACTCGAAGATGTGTTGACTTCAACTCCCAGAAATCCCTAGCTGGCATTAAAGTTGCCAAAGTTGAGAAACTTTGCGTGTGACTTTGTGCTCAAGGGTGGATGTTAACACATGTGAATGTGTGTAGCGTGGCGTTAGCTCGCCAAACGTCACCCCTTTCTTTTGCTTTTCCTTCCAGGTTTTTTTGTTTTTTTGTTTTTGCATTTTTTCCCAACTTTTTCAGAAGTGCTCATTGTTTGGCCTACACTTGAAAACTGTCTTGTTTAGCAGCAAAAAAACGTTGGGCTCAATTGTGGTCATAAGCCAAGGACTTCCTATACTACATAATTTACCATAAGTCAGTATAGATGATTACAAAAGAGAACAAAGTCATGAAGGATTGTATGATTAGTGATTACCAGACTTGATCACTGTTATCTACTTCTGGATTCATGAAGAGGTATGTCTTGAAATATACTCTTAGTCTCCAGGATGGAAACGGACTCTTTTTGTCCTTATTTGAGATCCTTTGTCAGGGTTCCAAGGAACACCCCCAACAAAATAAAGCTCTGAGGCCTGAGGTTCCTCAAAGTTCCAATTTATTAGAGATGTCATGTTGGCACATCTGGGAAAACCCGAATTTGAAAGCTTCCAGGTTTCCCTCACCCAGCTAAGAGTTCACAGTCCTGTCCCACACCCACAAGTTATCACATTGCCCAATCAACTCTTCACACACCACTGGGTACAATCTTCAGGCAGTCTCCATCAGACGCAGGCAAAAGTCCTTGAATACGGAATGTTGTTATAACTAACTTTCTACCGCTCCAACAACAACCCCCTGCCAACTTCCCCAGCTAAAATATGTGGCAGTTTAGAAGCAAAAAGAAAACTGTCTTCCAAAACTGACATCCTTCTGAATGTACTGGACATGGTGGGATTCAAATAAATTAACAAACGGTTCTCTGCCCTAATGACTGACAGGGTGGGTGTGGACATTGTGGGCATGGCCAGGGGGTGTGACAGGCAGCATTTGGCCTCCTCCACCCCCCTGGAGCAAAAACAGGCCGCAGGGTGGGGCCACCCCTACCCCCCCTGCACCCTGTTTTGGCCTAGTAGGCCTCCCTGCAGCCTCCTGGGAGCAAAAGTGGGCTGTGGAGGGCCTGTTTTCAACCTCCCCAGGCTCCAGAGGCTCTCTGGAGGCTGGAAATAGACCAGTTTTTTCACTCCACAGGCCTCTGGGAGGCCCGTTTTCCACCTCCATTGGCTCCACATGCCCCCTGCATTTACCTGGGATTAAAAATGGGCCACATGGGGACTTCTGGGAGGGGCAGAGTGAGGCGGGGCCTGCTGGTCGTCAGAACTACTGTTTCATCGAACTGGACATAAAATTAACATCCGGTTTTCCCGAACCGGTCTGAACTGGCTGAATCCCACCTCTGATACTGAACCATGATATGGTCCAGAATATGAATCAAATAGTCTTCTAATCTGATCCAGAAGACCTCTTTTGTTTTCACAGCACTGTGTTGTCTATATCTAACAAACACTGGCCAAATCACTATTGGATTTTTTGCACTGAGTGCTAAATATTTAAAATGTGACGAAAAATTAAGATATAAAGACTAAGGCAGTATATGTGATGCATAGAAATTGGCTGAAGATTGTCAGAATAAGAAGGCATGAGGCCAACAATCCCATTTTTTTTTTCCTTACCCATCCCCTTGGCATGGAAATTCCATTGACAAAAAAGTTAATCATAGCTAGGAACAACCAACATTCTCCATGTTAGGAGGATTCTAACAGTAGGGCAGTCAATTTTTAAATAATGTTCCGAACAGACATACAGAGTTGCTCTTTCCTTTACTTTTTATCAATTGTTTTAATTAATACTTACAAAGTATTGCTTATTCTCTGATCATTAATATTTCTTAAGCCTTTTCCCAACAGGACAATAAATCATTTTAGAGAATTGATCCACCCTTTAGCATTTCAGCTACAATAATACATGAGAAAAAGTTTGTAAACATTCAAGACAAAATTAGGACAACATTTGGTATAGATAAATTTGCCTATGAGTTATGCTTATGTGACAATCTTATCTCAGGTATATCCCTTCTGATTGTGTTACTTTATTTAAAAATATGATCTACAAACCTAGTCCTTTATTGCATACTATAAATTATGCAGAAGAAAAAAAACTGTACAATACTAGTTCTATTTATAAGCATCAATACAAATATTTTGATCCTTTAAACTTACACTTTAAAGAAAAAATTCCAACTGTAATATAGTTCTAGTTATAAATTGTAAATATATGTCTGCGTGGTACTCACTGCAATTCAAACTTAATAAAATAACCAAATGGCAATGTATTTTCAGTTATAAATATTGGGCTGCATGAGAAATGAAGAGGGAATCAAGATTAATTTGGCTTAAAAGAGCAACTGGGCCCTGAAAAAAAAAAATTGAAAACAGAACTGGAGAACAACTGGAGAACAAAAAGTGGTCCATAATATGTACAACGATTAAAAAATAAAAATATTTACAAAGAAAAACCTGGGATGAGGGAACAAAACTAAATGTAAGGGAGAGAGTTAGAAAACCTAGCAGTGGAGTGAAAAGAGGAATCAGCCTAGGATCCCTATGTAATCACAAGCAAACTAAATCCAATCTCCCTT